AGAAAAACTCTAAAATGCTGGAAAAAAGGAAAACGCTGGAGGCAATGCTCTTCCCGCCCTTGAAGCTGGTTGACACCACCTCCTAGCCCTAGGGTTTAAGTGGTGGCTGCATCTCGTTTGCTTGTGCAGCTTTATTAATCGCATATGTTACAGATTAATACATCATGAAATAGATTTTGTATATATAGTTAACCAATTCTATTTTGGTACTGACTGATCTCGAGAATTTATTCTCAATTAATTTTTGTTATATATTTATGCATAATATACAGTAGTTGTATTTCTATCTACTACCTGACGAACAAACTCGTATGAATTGAATGGCGATTGCTCAAACTGGTTATCCTTCAAAACTTTAAAAGGGGTGCAAAGGGTTGAGATGATGTGTAATATGCAAGATTTAATGTTTATAAACAAATTAAATAGGAGCAATAATCTTGTATATCAATATCTAATGAGTTGGTTTATGTATCTCGGCTAAACTTTAAGGGATATATGACTATAGTGGTGTTCTTGTCAGGCCGGTCTGACAGAATCAACCGTCCGGGTAAACTCGTTTGGTTTGAGGGGCTTTCGGGTCGAAGTTTTTGTTAAAAAGTTTTTGAACATGTTCTTCGTCGAGTGACAATTATCTCCACAAAATTTCAGCTTAAAACTTAATCTGGAAGTCATCAGTTAAATAAATACGTAGTATTATGTTCTCCTACACCAAGACGAAAAACACAATCATAGTTTCTCTATCAAAAAGTAAATCGAGGCTTAATTATTTTGATTGTTTTATAATCCAGCGTGCGAAGTCAAAAGTTACATATTTAATTAAAAAACGTTAGCTGGTAAGACCGATTAGCTAGTAAGCGGGATCTCAAAGCCTTTTTGACGGAACTAAAAGCCTTTTTATCGATGTGTACGATGTTATGACAACTGGTCAATTCTCCGCAAAATGTTTAAAACTATAATTAATGTGGAAGATGCTCCCTCCGATCCGTCACAAAAAACTTGGCCAAAGTTGATTTGAACGTATATTAATAAAGTAAAACATGTGTGTTTGAAATTTGTGCAGAAGAGAGAGAATCAACTTTAGCCAAGTTTAAATAGAAATGTCAAAATGTTTTGGAACAGTCAAAAAAGAAATTTGGCCAAGTTTTATGTGAGGGAGTATTATGCCTCGCTCCAAGTCATCAAAATGCTATTCTACTCATAATTAATTGTACAAAGAGGCCTAATAAAATACATTGATCACGACTATAGAAATATCTCTAACATTCCTCACTCGCAAGAGGCCATCAAAACTGAAATTACTACTCTTGAGAAGAACCAATTATGGACTCTACAAACACTGCCACCAGACAAGAATGCCATTAGATGTAAATGGGTATACAAGATCAAATATCATTCAAAAGGATCCATAGAAGGATATAAGGCAAGTCTTGTAGCAAAAGGGTATACACAGAAGGCAAGGCTTGATTATTTTGATACATTTTCACATGTAGCCAAAATCAATATAGTTCGATGCCTCCTCTCAAATGCAGCTTGATAAGTCAGTATTTCGACACGCATTTGATGCGTGTTGAGATCGGCTTCTGAAGGGTTTCCTAGATTTATGGTGTTATAAGTCTCATTTTTAGCTTAAGTCATATTTTACCGGGTGTTGGTTCGAGTTTTGTATTGTTAGAGTCAAAATCAGGGTTTTTGAGCGCGATACTGGCGCTTGAGAAGCAATCGGGACGATTTGAGAAGTATTCGAGAGTGAATTGAGAGTTTTGGATGTCACCGGGAGGTTTGCGATGAAGATTTGATGGCAAAAGAACTCTAGGATTGACAATGGGATCAAAAGAAGATGAATAAAGCTTGAAAACGGCGATCAGGATAACGTTCTGTCAATTGTTCAAGCATATCGTTTTGTAGAAACATCCGAAGGACACGATTCAAGTTTCATTTGAAAGCTAACTCTAAGGGCTACAAATTATATGAAGACCCCATTGCGAGAATCTAAGAGGAGGAAGGTGAAAACAGACGAAGAAGTTAGATGATTGCTGCTGCGATTTCAGAATGCGACCTTCCATCATTTTATTCATATCTTTTGATTGGATGATTCAAATCCAGTTTTGCAAGTTGTGATAGATAGAAGAGTTAATTATCTGCAATGTTCGTGAAGGAAGCATTGTCAAATTCGGCGAAGAAAAGAGCCAGACACAGTCATGTCTGACCAATAGGCACGTCGTGCCTATAGAAGAAGTGCGTAACTAGCTACTGGAGGCCAGGTACGATCGTGCCTTCCAGGGAGGCACGAACGTGCCTGGAAGTGAGATGCGGGATTCCTCCGGAGGCACAAAGGGATGCACGATCGTGCCTGGAACCGTGCCTGCCTCCGGAATCCCTAGTTTCGCCCGAATTGAGATGTTTTCTATGAATAAGACATCCATTACTATATTTTGAGGTTACGGAATTTAGAGAGAGGCCTAGGGATGAGTTTCTACGTTGTTTTCCGCTATTTTGTTCAAGACCCTGAGATTATTTGCAAGTTCAATCTTTTTAATTATTGACAATTATTTCTATTCATCCCAATTCTGTTGATTTATCAATTATGAGTTGTGAGTGGTTTAATTAGGGATTTGGGATTCATGAAGGGGTTAATCATGATGTATGACTAGATTCTTGATGGAATAATTGCATGAATGTCGTTTAATTTGTGTTTGAATAATTTAACCGATATCTTTTGTAAGTTGGAACCGTGGCTAGAATTACAATTGCTTGTAGAATACATTAAGAGAGATCTAGTTTATCTAGAACACATTCACACACACTTAATCGCTCGCTAAGATATTAGTAGCGATTAAGGGGCTGTAATCTCGCTCGTCTTGGCAACAATTTAGGATCCTATCGCATGAAAGATCAACCTGGTCCCCTTTATTGTTGTACTCTACGCCACGAGAATGGTAAGAACTTAGTAATGATTGGCTAGGGTCAATTAAATTAATTTCATGTAATTAAGCCTAGTCAGCCAGAAATTTGGTTACCCCGGAATCAATCCTTGTTCCCTTCGTCATTAATTAGAGAGAATCGCATTTTAATTTTCAAACCATTCAAATCTCGCACAATTGCATTTTATTTTATTTTCTTTTTAATCGATGAATTTAGTTAGATCTTATTTCCCTTTTGTCCATCCCAGTGGAGACGATACTCGTGCTTTCACCACTACATTACTACATTTTTAAGTGAGAAAAAACTCACGTAATAGAAACCTGCAAAATCCTGGAACCTTTTTCAACTAGATGTGAACAATGTCTTTCTATATGGAGAATTGCATGAAGAACTTTATATGCAACTACCACCAGGATTCTCTACATAGGGGGGAATGTTGTTTGTAGGTAGAGAAATTCTATATGGTTTGAAACAAGCAGCACACCAATGGAACCATAAATACTGTACTAGCATTCTTCAACATGGATATGTACAGTCTCAAAATGATCATTCCTTGCTCACTAAACGAATTGGAACCGCCATAACAATTCTTTTAATGTACGTTGATGACATAATCATCACTGGAAATGATGAAACAATGATTAATGATCTTAAGGAATATCTAAAGCAACACTTCAAGTTGAAGGATCTAGGATCATTAAGGTACTTTTTGGGAATTGAAGTTGCAAGAAATAATAAAGGAATATGCATCAATCAAAGACAATATGCACTTGATATATTGAATGAATGTGAATTACTTGATGCAAAACCATCACTATATCTCATTGATCAGAACAACAACATCACCCAAAATGATGGAAAACCTTTAGAGGATCCAAGTGAATATAGAAAGGTTATTGGAAAGCTACTGTATTTGACAGTCACACGTCTAGACATCAATATATGTTGTACTATTTAAAAAGGCTTTAGAAGTTTCTAGTTGTATGTTTGACATGTCAATTTTAAGAGCTTTTATAAAAATAAAAGATCTTTTTTGAGATGCTACATTGAGTAGCATATCGGATTAGTCTACAGTTTCTAACATTAATTAGTCCCAACAACTTGTATACCAAACAGAGCTAAATCAAGCAGTCAGTTTTTATCAAAAAAATACTACCATTTTCTTGTAATATCTTTTTAGTTACTAAAAACTAACTATTACTAAGTCGATCTGCAAATATTAGAATAAGAAAGGGAAACCCTACGTAGAAATGGAGTAGAGTCGGCAATATAAGCACTACATAGATCCGCCAACCACACGTGGAAACCCTAGAAGGGTGACCCACCCTTTGGAGAGGAACGGTGAAAATTCTTGTCCGCCTAAGCTTAAAAAGTGGCCTATACACTCGTATGAGTGGTGTTTTCGTCCCTAGAATTTCTAGGGTTCTTCTTCTTCTATCAATTTTGAGGATGGTGTTATGGATGGTTTCTTCTCAAATTAATGAGGACGGAATTTTGCTGACAGAGGCTACAACGTCAAGGGCTATCAATGAGATCCGAGCGATGGAAGCTGAAGATGAAGTGATGATGATTTGGGCCCCTCCTGAACCGCCGCCATGGAGGATCTGTGAGACTAGGGTTTCCGCCGCTGCCATGGGTCATCTGATCAATCGGTTTATCTTTTTGAATTAATATCTATTTATTCAGGTTTAGTTTTTTAATAAGGAACTCTGTTCTTATCGTTTTGTTTTTTGTTAAAGTTCATGGTACTAGGTTTATTACGATGATTGAGGTTTCAGCTAGATTTGATGTGATTAGTGGGAGACGGATCTATTTGTTCAACAACAGTTGCATTAAGCCCGTCTGGTGGTTAGCGATTCATATTGCTCCTTTAATTTAGGGGTGATCGTCTCTATGTCTAATCGTAGGACTATCAGTAGTAGTTGGAAGGTGAAGATTGTAGTTAGTGTTGGTCATTTTGATATTGATGTAACGATCTTGATTCTAATGATATTCATATAGGCGATTTCCTCTTCAAAAAAATTAACCGTTACTAAAAAACTTATAAAAGTATCTTTTCAGCTAGTTATAAATAAACATACCCGCAATATAGCGCCTAATAAATAAACATGATGCCAATAATAATGATAGATCCGTAGCTAATTAATGTTTGCACTTTGCACCATGCATGCATCGTATTATATATGTGGAGGCGTGGTCTATAATAATTTTGTACGGAGTATGTATGAGTTTGTGAAATCGAACAATATGTAATTAACAGGAGTAATATGTAAAGTGATAAAAAAGTCAAATGCTTCGTTATTTAGATAAATCTTGAAGTGTGTCTTGACATTCAGGTAAGCTCTCCCACTGAAGGTCCAATGTAAATTCTTCAGCAACAGTAGGCTGGCTACCATAAAAGTCCAAGCGCACAAGTGATTGTGGTCATAATTATCCATGCAATGCTGTCACGGACAACCATATGAAATTACTTGAGTACTAAATAATTACCCATTCCGCCCCACCCAACTTTGCTAAGTTGATTTTGAATGTCAAATTAGAATATTAAAAACTGTTTGTTTGTTCAGACGAGAGAGCAACGAACAAAGTTACAAATTCATTATTTAAAAAAAAAATGGCAAGTGTTTTTGCGACAAACAAAAAAAGAAAGTTGACAAAGTGCAATGGGATGAGGAAAGTATATAATTAAAGAAATTGTTCGAAATATAATTATAACTTAGACAAAGTGTATATAAGAGTAACTATATTTTATTCTCATAATATGACTTATTTGATCCTACTATAAATATAAAATTTCTCCAGTTAGGAGTAAATGAGTCTAAAAATAAAATAATGACACTCAAATATATTTGTGCATTTTGTTTATATTTTAGTCCCATTTAAGGGATCTTATCAAATAATATAATTACCAACCACCAGTCCACCACCACGTATGATACGATTTAAAACCACTTTTTTTGCGAGGGGATATTATACGGAGTTTTTTTTTTAACAAACCTGATAGGAGTTGTGATAGTTGAAACGGATATGGTACTCGGTGGAGACAATATGGTAGGAGGTGGAGACAATCCTGAGACGTCCAATTGGGGATTGTTTGAGACGTTACTGTCAAGGAAAGTCATAATAAATATCATGGATGAGATTATGAGAGTATCTTCAATACTACAATGTGTACGGTGCACATGTGACATGAGAGATGATCATACAAATATTAGCAAATAAATATCTCTCTCCTTATTTGAATGATTTTATAAAATTTTGATCTGTTTTTCTCTGCAATATCAACATTTAGACGGTCTTATTGACATTGTGAAGAAAAACTTATCAAAATGGTATAAAATCATTCAAAGAAGGAGAAAGATAATTTATTTGCTAATATTTATGTGGTTATCTCTCATGTTACATGTTCACCGTGCACATTGTAGCATTGGAGATGCCCTGAGCCCCTGAGTGAGAATAACACGTACTCCCTTTGTCCGATCATGATCGGTTATCCCATTTTTTCATTTTTGTTTTGTGACTAACTTCGTTTCATACTACATACATTTGGTAGTGTTCAAGGTAGTTCTATTTCATATTTACTTTATTCACATTTTACCAATTCATTGTTAATTAAACAATTCTGCTTTTCTTAAAAAAACTCATGAACCCAAGTTTGATTTTATTCACTCCATGGTATTGTACAATCTATGTACACAAGGAGTCAAAACTTGTTTAGTTCGGTGTTGGAGGTGAAAATGTCCATCCCTATTCATTGGGAAAAGCAAAAATTATTTGTACACACTTTTTTGTACACACCATCTTGCACATGTTCCTTCTGTGAACTGTCCACTTACAGATAAAAAAATTGTTGCTCACAAATATGTGTAAGATAATGTTTACAAAAGTAGTGTGTACAAGAAGAATTTTTGAAAACGGACACTTGTTTATCATAATTATTTCAAAAAGAAATTTATAAACGCATAATTAAGATTTTCTGCATCATATAGTAAATGTATTGACATGATAAATATATTAGCTTTTGGTGAGTTGCAATGAAAACAAAATTTACGGGAGAAAACATTTCTTTCGTATTTGAAGAATCAATATACTAGTTTGTTGAGGAAATTGGGCAATCAATGGTTTGGTAGGTTAATTGCATGCTCTTGTATAACAAAAACTTATACTTACAGCACCATATTTCCGGATTTTGAAATGAGATTATGAGGAACTTTACCACTCAAGAGATTGTCTTGTAGCATCCTTCAAATTTCAACCAAGAACGAGAACATTACATTCCACAAATTAATCATACTTCTTCCCATCATCAAGAATTAGATTATTTTTTCTTTTACACCGATTAATATATATCACCTGTGCAATGCACGGTGTAGAATATTTTTCAAAATAATTATTAATGATTTTTGTAACAAAATGTAATAAAGTGATAAAAATAAATTGTAATTTCTACTTTTTTTTGAAATTAATAATTTCATTTATTAAAAACGAAATGATAAAAAAATGTTTGTAAAACGTATTTTTCTTAACACGGAAATTATCTATTTCAGCAAAGTAAGAAAGCAATGTAAATTCAATTTTATTTATTTTAATCATTACAAAATTTACGGTGTAAGATAAACATTTTTGCATTTCCTCTATTCCAAATAACTTGTCCAACTTTACTTTTAGGCATCTCTTTTCATTTTTCTTTTCATCATTCCCGATTCTCCTCTTATTCTCCAACTCTGTTTTCTTCATTTGTTTTTCCGTTTTCTTTTACTTAGAAGAATTCAAGAACCTTGGCTATGACTGCTATAGAATAGAACAAGATTAGGGTAAAAGAGAAGGGAATTCAAAGTAAAAAAGAAAAACGCAAAGAAAAAAGTTAAAAGAAAACTAGTTAAAGGGGGAATGAATTTCGATCCATGGCATAACCTTCGATCATTCCCCTGATACAAGTCAGGCTGCTAGTTGAGAATGAAGAATTAGACAACGAGAACGTGTATAGTTAAGCTGCAGATTTACAGAAAGATAGAGAGGGAATAGGATCGAGGAAGATGATTATCATTCATGAATGCCAACTGAATTGTACAATATCAGTATATAAACTGATTGGGAAGCCGGCTAACTAACAACTAACTTCTAACCGACTCAATACATTTCAGCATCTTATTACATTTTATTTACTAATCCCAATAAAACGTGTACTGATATGGCTTGCTGAGCTGGCAACTACCGCTGTTATCTGTATCAAGTATGTGCTTTATTTTCTCTCATTTTTAAACTGTTTTTTTTTACAGTTTAAGCATGAGGAGGTTGGTATTGTTTTAGAATTAAGCATATTTGAGATTAATATATGAAGACTGCTAAGAGCATCTCCAATAGTACAATGTGCACAGTGCACACGTGGCATAATAGATAGCCACATAAATATTAGTAAATAAATTCTTTCTCTCCTTATTTAAATGATTTTATACAGTATTGATAAGTTTTTCTCCACAATGTCAAGGAGACCGTCTAGAAGTTGACATTGTTGTTGACAACTTGACATTGCATAGAAAAACTTACTAAAATTGAATAAAATCATTCAAATTAGGAGAGAGATAATTTATTTGCTAATATTTATATGGCTATCAATCATGCCACATGTGCACCGTGCACATTATAGCATTGGAGATGCTCTAATAGTTGAGATTATTAATGTGAATTTTTTCTAAATTATTTTACCGAGTATTATTGATAATTTTACTACAAAAAAACATAACATTGATTGATCACATGAGCTATTGTTATTGTCAAAAAATTACTGCTTTCGTCCTTTACAATTTTTCCATCTTTCATTTTCCAAGTCAATGGTAGTAACGTTTTGACCATGATTTTGATTATTATAACATTATGAAAACTTTAAATTTTATGTTTTTGTCAAAGTGCTATTAACAAAAACATTTCATATTCATTAAAAAAACATTTCATATTATTTTTTATATTATAAATAATTTCCTATAGAAAAATATATATATGGTCTAAGTGAACATGATTGATGAAATAATTCAAAGAAGACAAAGTTTTATGAGAACAAAAAACAACAATTTATTCATAATTAATAAAAACATATTATTCCTACTATTTTGACTTCTATTTTGAGGAACTTTTCATTCGTAAAGCAATTCTATCTTGAGTCATAAGGTGTTATTCGAATACTTTTTAGAAATTAACACAAATTTCTAAATTTTCAATAAGATCATGAATGAATGAATAAGTTTTTGAATTTGCTCACAAGTTCTAATTTGTATAAGAAGCTCCTAGTTCATGTACACTACACTTTGTTGATTATGTGGCCATGAGTATCTCATTTTTTATTTGCATAATTATAATTTCACTTTAACATAATACTTCGTATATTTTATATATGTAATACATTTACTTTATTAATGGAAACTCCCAAAAATCATTTTAGCCGTACAACACACGTGTATGATACTAGTTAATCTGAAAAAAGAAGGAGATCTTGAGGCAACGTTGATAGTGTAAATTTTTGTTATATTTGATGATTTGATCAATTATGTTCAATTTCATTGCACATACTTGTATTCATGTTTTCTATGCTTTTTATCTTCTTCTTGTTTTACCCACCCCTTGTATATTTTATTTTCAAACATCGACTTATTGAACTCTAGATTTATTTAGAAAACGAATGAAGGGAATTTCTTAATGAGAACGACTGAACGAGTACTCGTTGTCCAATCCGAGTAGAACTTAATTAACTCTAATTTGTTAAATGCAATAATTGATTTCTCTATTTGCTGACTATTTATGATTATATTGAAATATATTGAAATTTATGGAAATTACGCGTATACGGGCTATTAATTATATTATGGCATAAAAACTTTTCTATTTATATCCATCTGAAATATTGCCAAGTTTATTGCAAATTTGGTAATTACATTCTCGGCACTGGCATTATTGGTGTGGTGGCACTAAGATTAGTGGTTGCGGCGGCAGATTTGCTGCAAGGAGGCATGTGGCGGCGCCAGTAGCACCGCTAGGCTTCTAAAAATCTTTTTAAAGTCTTCAATTTGTAATTATAAATTAAGGGTGACTTTTTCAATCAAGCTAATGCATTTTTAGTCTAGACATGAAACATAGAAATCATATTTATGCGTTTGTTCATTGTTTTTAGTCCTATTTAACGTATTATTTTGTTTGAGGGTAACTTTGGAATAACACCACCATTTCTTATATAGGGGTTTTTGAAACTGATTCTGCATCTGCTTCTTTTTTAAAAGTATAAACAGAATTAGAATCAGTTTTCAGAAGCTGGTCTCTCCCAACTTTTAAACAAACTACTTCTAGGAGTATACTAGAGCAACAAAAGTATTTCTGCACTTTCACCCAAACACTCCCAACTTCTGCTTCTACTTTCTAAAGCAACAGTTTTAAGAATCAGTTCCAAACACCATCATAATTACGTAACCCTGAGCCGTGTACTTGTTTCTTCATGCTTTTTACACATGCCACTAGTCAACTACTACAAAAATCGTGTGTTATACTTCGTATTAGGGGTGAGCATGGGACGGTATGGGACGGTTATTTCAAAAAACATGTCCCGTCCCAAAGTACAGATTTTTTTTAAAAATCAAGAACCGGTACCGTCCCGCATATATATAGAACCTGTCCCGTTCCATACCAATTTTCGGTATGGTTCGGTACGGTTCCCCAGTGTTATTTTGTTCCTAAATAGTTAACCCCCATAAAATATAATTAACCCTATGCACGTAACATTGTTTATATCATTTAGTATTGTTTTTGTTTTAAAGCTAACTTTTAGAGTTGTCAAGTCTTTATAATTGGATTACACCCAAAGAATACGCAAGATTGCATATTTGTAATATATGGACATATGGTCACTAACATTTATACTCCGTAATATATTATATATAATATACTATTGTATTATAACACTAGTTTTCGGGACATACGGTTAATAACATTTATACTCAGTAATATATTATATATAATATACTATTATATTATAACACTAGTTTTCGGGACATGCGGTCACTAACATTTATACTCGGTAATATATTATATACGTAGTATAATATATTATTATATTATATATAATATATTATTATATTATAACACTAGTTTTCGGGACAAATTCGGGACGGTTCGGTTTAATACGGTTCGGGAACGGTTCCGGGACGGTTCTCATTAAGAACCGGTACCGTACCATATTATTAAAAAAGCTCGGTACGATACGGTACGGTATTACATTTTTCCGGTTCTTTCGGTTCTGGAACGGTACGGTATTACATTTTTCCGGTTCTTTCGGTTCTGGAACGGTACAAGACGGTTCTTTGGTACGGAACGGGAATTCCCAGATCCACGCTCAGCCCTACTTCGTATTATATACTCCGTTTAACACATAAAAGTCAGACTATCAAACAATTCAAAACAAAAGGTTGTAACAAGATTGGAGGAGCTGCACGGCTGCACAAGAGGTGATCTATGTTGCACGGATACGGATACGCCGATACGCGGATACGGGTACGGCGATACGGCACTTTCAAAAATTATAGGATACGGGTACGGGGGTATATTTATAAATAATAAAAATATAGGGTATAATTTGCAAATATATATAATTCAAGGGTTCATAAATAAAATAATAATAATAGTACAAAAAATTAACTATTATAATAAAGTTTCAAAGATTAGTCTAAAAAACTAAAGTATTGATATTTTGATTTAAATTCAAATATTTTTTTTTTGTTCTCTATTTGCATTTACATCCAAGTCTTGTTTCAATTAAATATCATCAAGCAATGAAATGTCAAATTATAGTATTCCATTATTTTTCATACTCCCGAAACCATCTTTATCAATGTTCCACATGTTGTGGTTGCTTGGTTGGCTACTAAATTTTCATCATGCCGTGTATAAAATGAGGGGTTATAGGTTCAGATACGCGTATCGGTTCACGGATACGGGTATCGGAAGTATCGGTATTTTTAAAATTAAGCCCGATACTTTTATTAAATTACGGATACAGACCCAATACGTATAAGACGGGTATCGGTGAGTATCGGATACGGATACGTATCGGATACGCGGATACGGCATCGAAGTGAAGTATCAGTGCAACATAGGAGGTGATTGACACATACCACGATAACAAAAAGAATTATTTGCGTCCATAGTTTTTAATAAAAGACAATTAATGTAAAATAGAAATGCGCAAAGACATGTACTACGTATATCATACAGGATATTTAGTGATGGGAGACTGCCCAAGTTTTCAGGGATTTGTCCACTTAATTTGTTGCCATGGAGGTCCCTGAAAAACAAAATCATGGATGCCAATATTAATTTGCATGCATGTGTATCTAACTAATTCTTTTTACCCGGAGGCATGACCCCCTGAAGAAAGAAACCTTATGAATTACCATATACACAAAGTAATCTAAAGAATAAAGAAAAAAGATTGGGGTACACACTTTTTGTACACAAAAAGTGTACACTCGTCTGTCCCCCACAGACAAGTTGTCTGTGGGACAGACAACTCATCTCGCGACAGACAACTTGTCTGTGGGGGACAGACGAATGTACACTTTTTGTGTACAAAAAGTGTGTACCCCTAGCTCCACCCAAGAATAAAAAGCTATAGAGAGTTTGTGAAATGCAACCAATTCTCTAATAGCCATTGTGAAATATGATAACCACACTCTACAATAAGAATCATTGCAAGTAAACACTTATGTAAGTAATATTCTGTATCACGCTATATAAGTAACATAATGAATCCTGAAATCCTGAAACTGATAATAGAAAGTACAGAAATTGCCCTAAATAAGAGTAAAAACGTTTTGAAATTCCAAAATAAGAATATCATGTTTTTTATTCTCTGAATAGGAGTAATCTTACAAGTTTGAAAAAATGCCATGTTTAAAGCCCTGTAATGTCAAACTTGGCAGAAATTTACTCCTATTCAGGGAATAAAAAACATGATACTTCTATTTTGGATTTTCAAAACGTTTTTACTCCTATTTAGGGATTCTCTCTAGAAAGTATCTATCATATGCATGTGATCTTTCCGAAGTCATTATTTTCACCATTTGTTTATGTTTAAATTATTCAACTGCAATATTCTAAAAGATCCATAGGGATAAAATATGGTACCTTGAGGGTACCATAGAACTTTCCTAAAAAACATGTATCGTCTATTGGTGTCTCATTACCAACGGGAATTTAGGTTTGAATGCGTACAATGTAAATAATTAAGAGTAAAATCCATATATAACATATATAACGTTTTACAATAGGACTAAGCATGTTTTCTTTCCTAAACAAGACTTACTTAATTCTATTAAAAGAATAAAAGAAAAAATCCATAAATAAGAAAGCATAGTCCTACTCCGTATTTTGGAAAGAAAATAATGGAACTCCTATTCAGGAAAATTCAAAATTTGCCATGATCTACTCATAATTAGGAAATTTTCTCAATAATTAAATCAACTAAAATAAAACGGTAACTCGTACACTTGTGTCAAATGTGTGAAGTTGCCAAACGTTTGGGGATGGAACCACTGATACCACACTCGTAAATAGACCTATCATATCATTTGTCAAACCAAAACTTTAGGTCATTCAAAATTTATCACGAGATATCTAGCTGGAAATACAGGTAGGAGAAGAATACATACATATACAACAGGTGGTTTAGATCATTAAAATGAGAAATATTCTCATAACAAATAGGAATATATCCAGACAAATTATCCACAAATTGAAATTGAAGGTTGAAGTCATTTATTTATATTATTAAAAGACGTTGTGGCGTAATCATTAATAGTGCAAGTAAAACGTATAACCTGTTAAGCACAAATGTGCATCGTATTGTATTGTAATAGAAGTTCCTTTCATTTATATATAGTGCATGTTTGGCAGACATAAGTTTCAGCCTTCTAACTTTGTATTACTCAAAAAGTCTCTAAAACTTCTAATTTTATGTTTGACATGACAATTTTTAAAAGTTTTTCAAAAATTAAAAGATTTCTTTTGAGATGCTACAGAGAGTAACATCTGAGAAAAGGCTGTAACTTTTAGTATTAGGCTATGTTTGGCACACAAAAGGCTATAGCTTCTAGCTTCTCTATTCTTTAGAAAGACCTTAAAAGACTCTAGTTGTATGTTTAATTTGACATTTTTTAAGAGCATTTCAAAAATTAAAAGATCGTTTTTGAGATGCTACCGGGTGTAGCATATGAGAAAAGCCCGTGACTTTTAGTATTAATTAGTCCCAACAGCTTGTATACCAAACCGAACTAAATCAAACAGTCAGTTTTTTACCAAACACCTATCACCTTTTCTTTTTAAGATCTTTTCAGTCACTAAAAGCTAACAATTACTAAAAACTCGCAAAAGTATCTTCTTAGCTAGTTGTGCTAAACATACCCTCAATGAGTCCTAACAGCTTGTATACCAATCCGAACTAAATCAAACAGTCAGCTTTTTACCAAACAGTTACCACATTTTCTTTTTAAGATCTTTTTCAGTCACTAAAAGTTAACAGTTACTAAAAAACTCACAAAAATATCTTTTCACATACTTGTGCCAAACATACCCATAACTTATTATCCCCACATTACATAAGCACATTTTATTAAATATAAATTAGGCAATTAGTAGCTGGACATAAATAATGTATCAATTGCTTAAATTAATTAGTTCTCATTTTTATCTAAAAAATACTCCGTATTTTTCTTGGAACCAAATTGTATACACTACGTATAAAGTTGGTAAGAGGTGACTAGCTAGCTTTTGCCCCACTGTTTTTAATTCGGTGGTGGCTTTCAGTATATATGTATCATATTGTACAAACAAAATTGGAAATGTTAGTGTTTATGAGCATGTACAGTAAAGGCAATATAAGGAAATTTTAGAATTATTTTAATTCCATCTCGGAATGTGAATTGTGGAAAATTTAAATATATCAATTACGGAGTAATAAATTAAAGAAGGGACAAAAATTTTCTTATCTTTTTTGTAACAATAAGTATAAGAAATTGGTGTGATCCAATACACGAAAAGTATAATGGCCTTGCAAAATGTGTGATCCGATACATGTTCGATCTCATATATTATCATATTGAATCGGCCGTCCAAATAGAAGGTATACAAAGTACGTATTAAAAACGGGTGAAAAGAATTAGACTAACAAATACGTCAACGCTGAAAGGGCATTCACATGATCTGGATCATTAAGCTCTGAAAGTTGTCCCGAAAGTGGTTGCCTACCCAGAGTACTGATGAAAGTTGTAAACATAAACACATAAATATGAATCAGTATCTTACATCTAGTTGGCCACATTCTCCATCAAACCCAAAACCACGCAAATAAACATAATACTTGCTTCAAATAACAAAAAGTAGAGAAAGTTCCTGAATAAAAGTAAAAACGATTTGGAATTTCTAAATAATGTTGTCATGTTTGTAAATCACAAATAAGAATATTCACTTCCATGTTTGGAATAGAATTGAAGAAAAATAAAAAAGAAAACTAAAGAGATCGAAAGAACCCTGGAGGGTTTGAGGGAAAACAAAGAAAAAGTCTGCAGTGCTCCCAAAAGAGAAAAACGGTATCGTATTTGGTACCGGTATACCGTGCAGGCGTGCAGTGTGCGCATGGTATATCGGCACCACGATATAATTTGCAATCATAATGGTATTGATTAATTGTAAACCCTATCCTTAAAGGTATGAATGAAAGTAATTAAAACTCTAAAATTTTGGAATTAAGTCATATACTTCTATTTTGACATTTTTATAATGTTTGTCATTTACGGAATATAAATTTGGAGAGCAACATACGTACATTCCAGTAACGGAATTTGCATTATTGCATTCCACCAGGCCGTTCCAAGTACAGGGATTGATAAGGCTTTGATCGAATTTATCCATGACCTTTTTCTGATCGATAGTATTAGTCAAACCGCCCAATAGTGTAACTATAGCGTCAACTGTATTGCAGAAAGACGGTTAATGATCTGGATAATAGAACTAGTATTGTTTTTTCCTAAAACAGAACTTATTTACTTCTATTAAATGAAAAAAACAATAAAAGCTTCACAACATAAGACTGAACGGGTCCATATACTCCTATCTATGAAACAAAACAATTACACTCCTATATATTTCTTCCTTTCTTTTTTAGTTGCAACATTCCTCTTTTCACGGTTGCCGATGCACAACTTTGACCGGTATTATATTTAATTCTCTATTAGTAAAAAACTTTTAAAAATCAGATAATGAATCTTCGTAATGAGACGAATTCAACAATATTTTCTAAAAAAATGTGCATACATTAATAAATAAAATATAGTCAAATACATGAATAGTGTGTAAATTCCAATGTTGCAATTAACTATTATGATACCGAGGATAGTATTTGAGAAATAATGTTTCATTTTACCATAAATGAATATTGAGCGTGTTTGACATTCAGCGTTTAGCGATTAACGGATAGCGGATTATGTTAGCGGGTTATCAATAGCTGATTCGGTCAGCGGGTTTGACTAGAGAAATAAACTAGCGGGTTGTCAAAAGATGTTTGGTAATTTTGCTGTTTGGCCATAAAATTAGTAGAAAACGTCATTTTTCAAAACGTCAATCCAAAACTCTCCTATTAGGAGCATTTTCATTTTGGCATTTTTGTCCAAAAACGCTGGTGCCGAACAGCTATTTACCAAACAACTTTTTCACTTATTGAAAATGCTAAAAATGGTCAAACCGTCATTATGTTTCGGCTTGAGATTGGAATTCGGAACTTTTTTCATCTTAGTAATTAGCATTTTTTCATTTTCATCTATTAGATATGAGATTCTTTTTTATGTTAACACGGTTATAAAACTTAGCTTCGATTATTGCTTGAATACTTAATTCAAAAATTAGTGAATACTCAAGAAATACCCTGTAACATTTATAAATTTGTATTGAATGAAATCTTAATCATGTAAGTAGGTGCTTGGGTATATTTTCTAATTTAAAACTAGTGAATACTTGAGAAACAATTTATCTACATTTTCATTTCCATGGCGTTTAATTAATCAAATGAGAACTAGTACTTTGTTTAATGGTAATTGCATTTTTACTTTATATGTTGACAAATGTTGTTATTTTTCTAATTTCACCCCGCCCCCTCGGATCATATCCTGGCTCCGTCCCTGATAACTACATTATAGTAACTATTAGTTATATTTGTAATTTGTGTAAATACATTTTACGGAATATTTTATAGATATTTTTGGGAAAAAGACCCAAATTTTGGCCAGTACAGTAACATATCACTTTTGGAAAGAATGACCAATGGACCATTATTGCGACTTTCACAACGAAATCACATAGGGTCATAAAAAAATATATTTTCAACCTAAGCTAGTCCTACTTCCTCAACATATCATAATACGGAGTAATATTATACTCCGTATGCATAAATACGTACCTTGATCGTCTCCGGTAGCAAACCAGAATAGCATAACAGCACATGCAGAAACTAGCAGCCACATCGCTGATATCATCCGACCCATTTTACTCGATCCCCCCTCCCGTAATACTAATTAACACACTTATAGACACGCAATATATGATTTTTGGAAAAAGGATAAATGTTTGAGAATTGAGATTATTAGTTTCGATACCAAGTTGATGGAAAAACAACAGAAACATTGGGTGTATATATAGTACTCCGTACGTTGGAGAAGACAAAATGGGCCCCAAGCCCATACATCCTGCAATAATCAAAGGGGGCAATATGATCTAACCACTTTACAATTGTTCGTTCTATCAAAAGGTAGTCGTGTGAAGAAAGGAATGGTTGTTTCCTATTGGGTTTTCACCAAAATGGCAAAATCTAAAAAAAAAAACTTTTTCAGTTTTCTTTGCATACACAAAAGTTATACTCTCTCTCCGTAGCATAAAAATCTTCTCACTTTCCTTTTTCGTCCGTAACAAAAAAATCTTCTTATTTCTAAATCTTCCCATCATACTCTCAATAATTCTGAAAATAATACACTATTGCAACTACTTTTTTTGGATTTATCCTACATTCCATCACATTATTCCACTATCTTCTCATCATACCCTCAATAGTTCATATCATCTTTCACTATTCTTAATCTACCTACTTTTGAAATCAGAAAGTTTTTAAGTTACGGAGGTAGTACTTCGTATGTAGTAATAGTTTAATACTTTTAAAAAATAGAAACCTATAAGGAAACATTAATTTATGATTTTAAATTTTTAGTTGGACTGATTTGTATGTCAAAATAGACTAGATTAAATAGACATAAATAGATTAAAACAGACTACACACTTAAACAAAACATACCACATCACAATTAGACAATAGTGTAATACGCATACACTAGAAAAAAAAAATCAATCCAATTTAAAACATTTGTGATGCTCATTTAGGGAAGGTTCTTACTTCAGATCAAAAGATTTCCTCATGAGTTGTTTGGATCCATTAATTCCTACTTTAATACCACTCTCTCCCTCTAAGATTGTCTCATTTTACCTTTTTTGTCCGTCTCATTAAGATTGTTCCATACCAAATTTGGTAAAGTTTGTGTAGATCTAAATCATTATTACTTTATTCTTACTTTGTCAATTCAATATCAACCACATAAGCCTCTTTTTATTAACTTGCGTGGCACTCCCTCTTGTCCCATTGTTAGTGAGACTGAGGGAGTAATATCTAAGAAAAAAAGTAAGAAAACTATATTTGCTCATAAGTTATGCTTCAATTATATTTAAGAAAAAAATCTTTTTTTCGATGGTTGGAGGCAGCACCGGAAGGGGATGATAATTTTTTTGTTTATATTTCAAATAAAATATACTCTCTCCGTCACGAAATAATTGTCTTGGGTGCTTTAGCACATACGAAGTAAAAGTTTTTAAAAAGTGGTTAAAAAGTAATTGGAAAACTGTCTTGGAAAAAGTAATTTTTTCAAATTAATTTGCGTTCTCGAATTAATTGCGCATTCAAATTAATTCTTGAAGATAACTGCGCATTTTTGCGTTCTCGAATTAATTTGAATGCGCTCCCAATTAAATTTGTAGCTGAAATTTGGTATGAGTAAACTAGACTTGATGAATAAGATGCTAAAAATAATTCATCAAAAAATTCCACCAGGAACCGCCCCAAATCGCGACGGCCGGACAGAGTCTCCTATATAAGGACTTAATTGACTTTTTTATGAAAGTTCGAGGACCTATTTGACAGTTTTCCCAAAAAAATATGACAAAGATTATAAAACCTTGCTATAGGTACCTCATTTTGTACCTCAATTTGTACCCCAGCCTATTTGTGTGGCTCACAAAAGCCCACTTCAATAAATGAATTGCTCCACTTTAATGGTTTGCTTTTGTGAAACACAACTAGGAAGGGGTATAAATTGGGGTACCTTTAGCATTTTTGAAGATACTACCGGAACGGAGACCACAAAACATTCCTATTTTGAGAACTCGCATGGAAACATACTCCGTATAATCCGATACTTAGAATGAGAGAAATCATCTCATCAGGCCGGCCTGACGGGCTGCCCCGTCCGGCCGAGCCCGTTTGGGCACCTTCCCGGTGGAAGTTTTTGATGAAATTTTTTGAGCATGTTCCTCATCAAGTCTAGTTTGTCCATACCAAATTTCAGCTCAAAATTCGATCGGGAAGGTTGTCAAATGATTTTTGCAAGTTAACTGGTCCGGAATATGTATTTTCCGGACCAGTTAACTTGCAAAAATCATTTGACGACCTTCCCGATCGAATTTTGAGCTGAAATTTGGTATGGACAAACTAGACTTGATGAGGAACATGCTCAAAAAATTTCATCAAAAAATTCCACTGGGAAAGTGCCCAAACGGGCTCGGCCGGACGGGGCAGCCCGTCAGGCCGGCCTGATGAGAAGAGCTCTCCTTAGAATGATAAATAAATTGTAATTGACGCATATGCATACGCCATTATAGTTAAACGCTTACATATGCATGCATACGCCATCATCACAGCAAAATATAAAAAGTTAAATAAAATTGTCAAGGTTAAAATTATTAGAATTTCTTGATCGATTGTTCTTTTTGGTGTACATAAAAGGTGTATAATTTTTGTACATTTTTATGTCCGTGTACACAAATAATTTATGTTTTTTTCTTAATTAAAAAAGCTAACTGTGTGTACACAAGTAACTGGGGAGTATGTAGAGAAAAATTGTACACTTTTTATGTAGAAATAGAAATTTTCTTTCTTGATAGTGGTTGGTGGAATTTGATGTATCCAAAGAATATACATCAAGGTCAATTTAGGTTAATTATAACTCTCTTCGTCAATGAATCAAATTCCTCATTAATTTGTATGTATACACTCCGTCAATTCGGTTAGAATTTTATCCACATATCCAGGACCTGAAAGATAGATGCGTTATCAATCCGGAACCTGAAAGATGAAATGTGTCGGTATAGACCCTGAATAATTAAAAACTATCAATTTAGTACCTAAAATTCCACAAGTTTTGATTTTTTTCAATTTTTATTAATTACATTGCTATTATATTTTTTAGTATGGATCTTTCTCAACCATGTTAAAAGAGTGTTTAAAAGAGTGTTTCCATCATTTTAAAATATCATATTTTTGAAATAATATTCTAATTGTGTTAAATTGAAGAATGGAAGGAAAAATAAGATTAAACCGGAATCCTTTTATTTTAGCTACTGATTTCATTTGTGAGACCCTTTAGATAAAAGAATTGAATTAGAAAAAAAAAAAGAGAAAAGGGGCAAATAAGACCACGTAGTAACAAAAAAAGGTCAAATTAAATAAGGCCTTATTTAAGAGGTTTTGTCCGTCCATCACCAATTGGGGTGGTTTTGGGTAGAAGTTTTTGATGAAATTTTTTGAGCATCTTATTCAGTAAGTCTAGTTTACTCATACCAAATTTCAGCTAAAACATCAATCGGGAAGGCATTCAAATGAATTCTTGAAGATAACTGCGCAGTTAAAAGCACAGTTATCTTCAAGAATTCATTTGAATGTCTTCCCGATTGAATTGTTAGCTGAAATTTGGTATGAATAAGCTAGACTTAATGAATAAAATGGTCAAAAAATTTCATCAAAAAAATCCACCGAGAACCACCCCAAATGGTGAAGGCCGGACAGAGCCTCATAAATAAGGCCTTATTTGACTTTTTTTGGTTAGTATGTAGCCTTATTTGCCCTTTTTCCCAAAAAAATCTAACGAATACTTAAAATAAAAATGACTATTATTATTATTATTATTATTATTATTATTATTATTATTATTATTATTATTATTAGATGGCTTCGCTGACCCGGGGTAGCAAAAACCGATAAATACAGACTGAAAAGTACCAAGTGTAGATTGAGTAGAAAATTTAGTAGAGTAAGATGAAGCTTGTGTGCAATTGGGAGGGCAGCAAATACTATTAAGAACCGTAGCAAAAACATACCATAATATTTTTGTATTATTATACAACCCAAATTCATGAATATGGTGTTTTGAACAAAAAATCATAAAATAATATACACTCATTTCTACAATATCAGTATCTCATAACACAAATCAGCATCATAGTTCCAAAAGATCTAAGTTATACATCAACAAAATTCAAAATACATACAATAGAAATTATCATCTTTTTATAAGTTTATCAAAATTAATAGTTTACTATAAATCATCACGTGTACATCCAAAATGCACCATGATCTTCGCATACTTCATCATTGGAAAAGGGTCACCTCTTCTGATAATCTGATAAATCAAAAATATTAAAATGCACACAATTAGAGTATTATACATTATAAAAAAATATAGATCACTAATTACATATGTTATAAAAAAAAATGTAAACGACAATAAACATAATTCTAGATCAATATTAAGTTGTACTAATGGGAACATTTGCACAAAAATAGTCTCACCGTTAAACCATTTAGTTTTTCCATCTGAAAAATCACAGTGCATCATCCCTACTTAAGTTGCCATTTGATATCTGAAATAAATAAAAATAAAAAAATAAAAATAATTAGAGAGATCACATAGCAACAAAATGTATTAACAGGAAACAACTAAACTCGACTCTTCTTATTTACAATAAAATATTTCTGAAAACATTAAATTTAATGTAAATTTTATATACATAAGGGACCACTATTTTGGTTAGACATTCAAATGCATATCTCTTCTCCTTTGTTTATTTTGCAAGTACTTCTATATTTTAGCCATAAACAAAATTAACTGTCTGCTCGTTTTAATCTCTATGTGGAAGCCTTTAATTGTTGTTGGTACTTATGCTATTTTTTTTAGTTTAACCTAGCAAAATAACAGCTCTTGGGATGTTCTTCGTTTAATACTTACATTAGGAATGATTGGCTTAAGTGACCATGTGAATTTTATCTTTTCAAATTTATTAAGGAATGATACTACCATGCTGTTATCAGACATAGTAGTGAAAAGTAACATATGGTATAAACGTTACCATTTACTTTCAGATTCTGCTATCAAAAGGTTTGCTTAATAATGATGCTAGGCCATTTTTTTCTTGGAGGCTATTGGGTAAAAGTTCTAAACGTCTACATACACATAAAATTGAACTACTCTGTAATTCTATTCTTGAGTTTGGTTTCCTTCTATTTTCTAC